GACCCCCCCCCCCCTATCCCTGATGAGAATCCAGGACGTGGCCCCCTTGGACGTCACCCTCGACCTCCACGGCACCCACCGCGGCGGGAGCGGAGACCGTTTCGGCAGGAAGGCCGCTGCCCTAGAGGTGGACAGAAGGCGGGGCGCGGTCGTCGTGAACGCGGAGCTGGCCGCATCTTCACGAGTCTGGGTGGCCGGCGACGCGGCCTGCTTCCCTTCCCAGGCGCACGGCGGGCGGCGCCTCGTGATCCGATCGGCCGACCACGCTCTCCACAGCGGGAGACTCGCCGGGGAGAACATGGCAGTGGCGTCGGGGGCTGCGAGGGATGGGGTTGGGGGGAATGAGGGGGGTCGGAGATATCACCACACCCCAGCGTTTGTCGGGGAGGCGCCCTTGGCGGGGGTTAGGATCGCCATGCTCGGGGAGTGCGACGCGTCTATGCCGACTCATGGCTTCTGGTGAGAGTTAAGCTGGAAACACAGGGGTATGTCTGTCTGGTACTTGGTTGAGCCTAGTTATTGTGTCTTGAAGCATAGCTGCCGCGTGCGACATGTTACGTTGCGCGGGTGATGGCATGGCAGAGTCGCGCTGCCTTTTCGACGTGTGCTTTGGGGTTCTAAAAGTTGGTCGGATTTCGCAACATGCGTGGCGAAAGGTGCTGCCATGTGTTCAGCTTCTTTGAGGATCGACGAGTTTTTTGTGGATACATTTTCTCTCTAGCAGCTACAGGATATTCGTTTCCTCCGCCGCTCTAACCAGGCCGGGCTTGAGCGCGATGTAGCTAGCCTTCTTGTTGTTGTCGTGTCTCTCTCTCTCTTGGCTTCCTTTTGCGTTCCTCCGGTCTGTATCCTGGGCCGCCGTTCCTCGGGTTTTTTTCGATTGCGGAATGCCCTCAACCCTCTAGCAATGCCTTGAACCACCGCCGTGGCTCTCCTGCCTGTCTGACATGTCCGACGACTCTGCCTATATTGCGTCCATGTGTGCTGAGACCCGGCTCTTTACATCTGGATGGCACCTTTGCACAAGACGGTTTAATGCTACAATGAGAATAGCGGGTGGGTGTTGCATCGATAACTGTTTGCTATCCTTGGTTCTTGTCGAACATCAACTCTTAAGAAATATCGTTTGCGGACACATCAGGTGGACCAACAGTGCGACCGGGCTATCAAGGAAAACCACGGTCGCCCACGGCGGCGGCAGCAAACGGCGTGACGCCTCAAGCAGGCGTCGCACGTTCACCAAACGCAGCACGCGAGGTGGCGCCACCGGAACACAACGACGCGCCACCGACCACCAGGAGGACGGGCACCAAGAGGAGGAGGAAGAGGACGAGCACGGCGGGGTCACCCTGGTGAGCCGCAGCACAGCGCGTAAGGAGTTCACCCCTGTGTTTGGAACCGGCGTTGTCTTCTATTGCAGAGGTTCGGAGGTCAAGGGGGCGATGCTCTGGGGATTCCCTGGCGAAGCGACGGCGGCTGCGGCGGCAATGGGTGGACCGGCGGCAGCACCGGGCGTTTTCGTGGAAGGAGGGGTCAGGGAAGGCGGAGGTTCGCCGACACCGGCGGCGAATGCGGCCGCGGGAATCTCGGCCCGCGCTCTCGATCTGCTGAGGACGATCATGGAGCGGAGCTCCAACATGGAGGCGGACTTGTCCGACGAGAGAGTGATGCAGGCGTGGCTTCAGGGATTGTCGGACGCGGCCAGGGTGGTCGCGCAGGAGACCGGCGTCGGACACCTTGCCCCCATGAGAAGGTGGGTCTTACATGACAGACACCGTAGGACACCTCTACCTCGTCGGCGTGTTAGCACGGTTGGTGAGTCTTGGGAAGCCGGCTCGTGCTTTCGCAACCGCGGGTGCCCTGTTGCAGGTTGGAGCGGACGCCATGGGAATGAGACACCCGTTCTTGGACAGACTTTGTGACATGCTCGCTTACTTTCGTGCTTGAATCGTGGCAGCGAACCGGGCGGAAATACGCGACTCATTCCCGCAGCAGACGCTAGGTTTCTTTTGGGGGGGAGGCGGGAGGTCAGGTGTAGCAGGACAGCGCGCGGTTACATGTGAAAGAGTGCGATGCCCAGAGAACAGGTGTCGCCCGACTTGGTCGTATCAAACAATACCGTTGCAGGGCGAACACGCCTAACGCGGCCGTACGTTTGCGCGCCAGCTATGAGGGTGGACAGATAATGCTTCATGTGGTCTTCAGTAGTCAAGCCGATTGTCTGAAAACCTTGAAAGCGTCTATCCCGCGGGCTCCACCTGCCTGTTTGTCAGGCTCTGGCTGTCGGCACTCTGTCAACTAGGCCCATGAGTGTCATTAACCAACACAACCGTGGGTACTCCTTCTCCTCCCCACACATAACGCCCTCCCTCCTCTAAGATTTCGCTGCCGGCCGAGCCACCTCGATAAATACAAGAACAGACCAGTGTCACCCCCTTCCCCCANCCGGTGAGAACCCGGCGTGCTCCGTCCCGGCTTTGTAGGGATGCGAGGTCAATGGTCTAACGACTACGGTATGCACGACTATGAGTACATGAGTACACCCCCCCGGTGTTTGCCATCGGGGTTGGGTTTTCGTTGCTTGGCAACGACGTTGTAAAACAAGCCACCCCCCCCCCCACCGCCCCCCCCGGTGTTTGCCATCGGGGTTGGGTTTTCGTCGCTTGGCAACGACGTTGTAAAACAAGCCACCCCCCCCCTCCCCCGCCATCGGG